CACATAACTTTCTGACCTGACTTCTGGATATCCGACCCCGTTCAATCTTTGGCTTAGACTTAGTCTCTGTCTAGTGTCTTTTGGATTTGGATACCTTTCTGACCTGACTTCTGGATACCCGACCCCGTTCAATTTCTGGCTTCGACTTCGCCTCTGTCTAATATCTTTTGGATTTGGATACTGTTGACCTGACACTCTGGAAACCCGACCCAGCCTTCCTACCCTGACCTCGTATTCTTCCTTTCGCTTCTGGGGTTTGGACGCCAAACTCATTCAAAATACTGTACTCTCTCAGCACCGCATAGGGTCCGAGCAGTTATTCTCACACGTCCCTAGTGACAACATTGACACCGCAGGTATTTACAGTAGGTTGAAAACTATCACAAGCAGATATTTTTTTTAGCCCATCACAATACTGCTGGGCTTTTGCACAGTGGTGCTGTCTGAATGTTTGTGGACATTGCAGCTGTTTTACTTCTAATTTATACTACCGCTATTGTGTTCTGTATTAATTACATCCATATTCCTGCAAACCACAGTCTTATTTTGTTTTATTTTATACTATTATGCTGTTGTCACACATTCCATTATGTTCCTGTCTCCAACAATGTCATGTGTTATGTGAGGAAACAGTCAAGTAAGCATTTCATTGTACTTAGGTACACATGACAATAAACCTGAACTTGAGGTATGAACAAAAGTGACCCTTGTGTTTTATGGGAATCAATCATTAATCAAAAATAGGAATTTTATTTTGTTCAGTGCTAGTAGTATTAGAGTACTGTATTTTTAGAATAGTTTAAAGGCTATTCAATATCTTAAATATTAAGATTTCTGTCATATGATGTTGTTCGTTCCTGTTTTATCTGGGGAATGAATATAGCTGGAGCCACTGTGTCTAATAATTGAACTCCATATTACTGCAGATGTAATACATGTCATTCTTGAAATTCAGTGTGTTTGTGTGCAGTTAAGTTCTGTTTCATTGTCTTCTCTCTCAGCACCTGCAGGAGGTCCCAGCTGCAGCAGTGCAGTCACTGTGCAGTCCTGCTGAGGGAGGTTTTTGTAC